AGTTAGAGCAGTGTATTTCATTTCTAATAGCCTGTGTTTCCTGTGAGTTTTCGGGTTTTGGGAGTTTGTTTGGATTTCGTGATATGGGTTGTATTATGCCAAGTGGCACTTATACACAATTTTCTTTTGACAGTAAAATTTTCAGTTGTTTGCTTTCGCAATTTAGTTTGTTTTTCCGCAAGTTGTATAAATTACGCATTGTTAGGCTTACCTCGTTATAGGGACTAGGTGCCATCACGACATGTTCACGGAGGGCGAACTGGGGTCGTGACAGTTGTGCCATCTCAAGTTGCTCATATTTTCTAAGATTTTATTTTATTACCTCTTGTGATTGATTATATTATAAATATTACATGATCTATGAATTGTGTCACTTATAAAGAATAAACATTAACAAGTGGCATCCCAAGTTTTTGATGCTTCCGTTGGTTCAAGTAAACAATTCTATTTATCTCATAAAAAAAGTCATTATAGAATACTATGGTACTATTTTAGATTTTTTCATATTAAAATTTCAAGGAATATTAATTTTAAGGTATGGTTTATAATTTTTCTGTCTCACTTACAATTTTAAATTTTGCTAAACAGTGAAACTACTTTGACACAAAAACAAGTTTATCACGTTTCGAAAGTTATTTGTCTTTGTTGAAATTCAGCTACGAGTTTTTTTTTTTCCATCTTTGATCTTCAGAGATTAATTTTTTCTAAAATAACAATTTACTTTAATTTACTTTAGGATAATTTAATTGCTTTACCTTTCTTTAATATTTATTCTATTTGTTTATTATTATTAGTTGTTTGAAGTTCCCGTGATGAAAAGGTCATCGGGTCATAGTCGTCACTTTTGCTGTATAACCTAATAGGCATAAAACTTTTGGTTAATTAAAAAGTTGACAAAATTAAATCATTTGTAAATAAACCTTTATTTTATATTATTAATAAAAACGAAAATAAACTATATGGAAATAATGGGCAGACTTGCCATATGATATGGTATTGTTTAACCCATGTAAACTAAGTACTGCATATTGTGGCGCCAATGTATTATGAGATAAATTTACTACTCTGTTCAATTTTTATTACGCATTCAAATTTTTATTGAATCTTCTTTTGAATAAAATAATAAATATTTTGATCGATTTTTACGATCTTACTGCCTTGTTGGTACAAAAATACTTGTGTACAATTGCTTTCAGGTATACTTGCAATGACAACTGAAATAAAATTGACAAACGAACGTGTGCCAAGTAATGTTTTAAGAAAACCAGAATTTTAAATAAAAGTCTTATTTAATATAGATTAATCAGAGTAGTACATTGATAAATGTTAGAAAATCATGTTGTATCAATGTACTAATCGTATGAAAGCGCAAAAAAATGACATAATTGTATCCAAGGTTCTTTTTTCGGATATTCTTTTAAATATCCAATAAAATTTAAATTCTATTGCGCTAAAATATAATTAAACATATTTTTCATTTAAATACATGTTATATTTATTTGGACTGTTTTCTATTATACATAGTTTATATTTACTGTACTCAATTCTTTTATTGAGAGACGCAATTTTCACGTGCAACGCACGTATCTTAAAACTAGTATACTTAATAAAAATAAAATACTCTTAATTTATGCTTTATGTATAGTAAAATTTGTTACTATTATCCTACACATAGCAAATAAGACATCCTAATGACAATGTGACTAACATGACGTTTTAAAACAAAATTATCAAAATTAATTAACATAATCAATACCAAAGAGAAATTGAGACAATTCGGACAATTTAGAATTTTGGTACATATATTTTGTATTGACTACAGACACGTTCTCTATATCAACCATTTACCAAACATGCTGCTTTTATTTCATTTTATTGGTTTTAAATCCAAATATACCTTATTAGAATTAAACGGTATTGTGGTTGTTGGGAGTTTCTAATAATAAATGTTTAAAGAAATTTAATATTTGCACAGTTATAGTTTGAGGTGAAAAGAGGATGAAAGTAGTGGGGAAATAAAAGACAGAGGGAGTGACAACATACAAGTATTAATTTTCATCTTCAGTAAATTGGTTCATCTGTCGAAGTAATTGCATTCGTTAGCCAAAATTCATATAAATTATAAAATATATTTTATCAGCTATTATTTTTATCCGTGCCAGCAAATATATATTTCTCTTTTTTATTCAGATTAAAAAGAAAACTCAATATATAATGGTTTGCAAAACAAACAAGGTAATTGCGACTGCGTTCCTGGGGACTTGGACTTTGAATAGTGAACTGAAGGAGAATTCTATAACGTTCACGCTCTTTTCTGCTTTGGCAGAATTATATGTATTTCTCTTAACTGTTGCATCTAAAATATTTATTTTCTTTTTAGCTTTCTGATTTTCTATTTATAAAATATGGTATTTTATGTTTTTGTTTGTGCCAACTTGTTTCTAGACCTTTTCCTCTTTCATTTCTTTCTTTAACTGTTTCTATTTATATTGCTTCCATTAATCTTATTCCCCTTGTTCATTCTCCTTAGGCATCGGATATTTTAAGCTTTTACCACATAAAATTCGTTTTGACTTATATTTAAAAAAATAAGACATCATTATGACGATGTCGCTTACGTGACGTTTTAAAAAATTATTAAAATTAAATAACATAGTCGATATAAAAAAAATTCGAAAGATTAGGACAATTTAGAGTTTTGGCTATATATATTTCGTATTGACTATATAGAGCTGTCAAAACGGGCTAGCCCAGCTCAACCCAGCCCAAGTCTTGTGGGCTTTTAAATTTGATGGGCTAGGGCGGGCTAACCCTCCATCTATATGGCCTTAAAATTGCTAGTCCAGCCCAGCCCTAACAGGGTCGCAGGCTAGGGCGGTCCGACCCTTCAATTTTTTTAGAAAAAATATTTCTCCAAATCTTTACATATTTTTTTCGTGGTATAATCTCTTGATCATATGAACGACTTTTGTTTGTTTAGAGTGTACAAGAATCTTGATATTTGACAAGGAATCTCGTAATTGAAATGTAATTTCTCTATATCTCTAGCTCTTCTCTTTTTAACGTTACATGAATTATTTTTAGTACTTTTCTTTCACTTTACTTAGGTTCAGGAATTGCTTCAATAAGTATATATGTTAAGGATTTTTAATTTAGGTTTAACATTATTTGTCGACTTCATCATTATAGTCCATGAATTTTTTAAAATTAATGATATTTGCTCGTATTGTTAACTTTTTTTGGGTATTAAAACTTGACCTTTTTCTATACTGAAGAGCAATTTAGTAATTAATAATATATTAAAGTAACCAAACTAATCATTGGCCACTTAAAATAATATTTTCTTTTGAAAAAAAATATTATTGGCCACTTAAAACTTTCCTAGCAAAAGAAAAACTAATCTTGTCATACTACATGCATATCAATAATATAAATTCTAGTTGATATGGAAAGGTAAATGAGCAATCTAAGGTTGAAAAATGGGGATTATAGTTAATATTTTTTTTACTTTTTTTAAATATTTAAATTTGAATATAATTATTTTTTGGCCGACGGGCTGGCCCAGGCCCAGCCTCGATCAAGCCTCAAGGGCCAACGGGCTAACTTGGGCCGGGCTTATAAGCCTCAGTTTTAAATGGGCTAAAAAATCCAACACAGCCCTGTCCAAGTAGAGGGTTGGGTTGGGCTAGCTTCACGGGCCAAGCCCATTATGACTAGACACATATATATTTTGTACTCCTATTGACTATAGACACGTTCTTTATATTTACGGTTAAGGGTTTGATTTGTCCCTTTACTATCATAAATAGGTCTTATTTATCCTCCGTTTAAGTTTTCTATCAAAAATATCCCTACAATTATACATTAGGGTCATATTTACCCTTACACGTTAAAAATACCATCCCTTCTTTTAAAATCCACTTGGCATCCCCTTATTGGACCAACTGACCCGCCCTATTTTTTTAATTCAAACCCGCTCGATCCCAGCAACAAAACTACACTCACCCATTGGTTTGGTTTGTGTTTTAATAAAGAAATAATCGAAAAAACCGAACCAAGCCAACTATAACAGTAGTTATATGAATTTATTAATATATATATATATATATATATATATATATATATATACATACACACGCCCTTTAGTCTAGTTCTTTGTTGTTATAACAATCTAATTATTTGACTTATGACACTGAGATATGTCTCCGTAAGAAGATAAATGCCAAATCTGATTGCTAAAATGGACAACGATTCTCTTTTTCTTTTTCACTTTTGGTAGATAAACTTACGTCACCCCCTGACACTTCATTAACATTGCCGTAATTAAAAATCGATTGACCCGCCCCATTTTAGTCTAGTTCTTTTTTTTTCTACAATGTAAAGGCAAATAATTAGATTGTTATAGTAACAATGAAGAACTAGACTAAAATGGGGCGGACTAATATGTACCATAAAATTTGAGAAACATTATATAAAAATATACGTATATATATACGTGTAATAATAAATTCAAATAACTACTTTTTTAATCGGTTTGGTTCGATTTTTTCGATTATTTTTTATTAAAACCAAAACCAAACCAAATTTGATCGGAGTTTTAAAATACAAAACCAAAACCAAACCAATGGATGGGTGTAGTTTTGTTGCTGGGATCGGGCCGGTTTGAATTTAAAAAATGGGGTAGTTCAGTTGGTCCAATAAGGGGATGCCAAGTGGATTTTAAAAGAAGGGAAGGAGTTTTTAACGTGTAAGGATAAATATGACCCTAATATATAACGGTAGGAATATTTTTAATAGAAAAGTTACACGGAGAATAAATAAGGCCTATTTATGATAGTAGAGGGGTAAACCCTTAACCGTTATATTTACCATTTACCACTTACCACTACTAAAGGTGCTGCTTTTTTATTTTTTTATTTATTGTTTTTAAATCCCGATGTACCACATCAGAATTAAACAAAGTTTTAGGGGTTAAAAACATACATGCGGATGAATTCAAGCTCTTGCTGAGGTGTAAATAGGGTTATGAAGAGAACAGTAGAAGAAAGTAAAACATTTGAGCTCTGACTTGGGGCTCTTTAGGGGTCTGCAGCAGGAGAAAGGAAATCAAGCTCTAGAAGTAATTTTCAAAATGTCTGAGTATTTGCCGCAAGAAGTGTTGATTGAAATTTTTCTAAAGCTTCCCACCAAGTCCATTATTCAGTTCACTAGTGTCTGTAAGTCATGGTACTCTCTTATTACTAGCCCTAATTTCATTTCCACTCACCTCAATTACCAAGATGAATACCTGCTAGTACGACATTGCTCCGGAGAACCAGTAAAAGAAATTTATGCTTTGTTCTGTGACAATGAGAATTTTGACCAGTATGCCCAGTTTGATTTTCCATTTGAGTGTTACAGTCACTTTAATATTGTGGGTAGTTGTAATGGGCTTTTGTGCCTTTCCGACGACCTGTGGGGTTATAGGGACCGTTCCTATATTTGGAATCCATCCATCAGAAAGTCAGTAAAACTCCCCGAACCAATTTTTACATATAGAACATATGGCCCCTTTGACCATACACTAGGGTTTGGGTTTGATAGTGTTACTAATGACTACAAGGTGGTAAGAATAGTACACAGTGAACTTTATACTGATTGGGTACCACCTCATGCTGAGCTTTATAAGCTAAGCACTGGTGTTTGGCAGGACATTACTCCTGTTTCTCCATCTTGTATGTATGTTCCGAAGATACCAGGGTTCTACATGAATGGGACTTGCCATTGGATTGCTTCTAAACAGAAAGGAGGGGAGAGTCAAAATATGATTGTGCTGTTTGATGTGCATGAGGAGACATTCTGGGAGATGATGGTACCTGATAGTTTAGTTTGGAATTTTAGTGGGTTTTTTTGTAACGAATTTGTCCTTTTTGCCTCAGATGAGTCACTTTGTTTGGCTGATAGTTCCTCTGGAAATGACAAAACAATTGATATTTGGATGATGAAAGAGTATGGTGACCCAGAATCATGGGTGAAACAGTTCAGCATCAGTTCAAGGGACGTATCATTCAACGTTGGTGTTGTTGATGAATTTTTCTCGATGCTTCATGGTGGTCGTCAGCGTCAGGTTGCTCATTTCTTGGTGAAGCCTATAGCTTCAAGGAAACATGGTGAAATTTTGTGGAGGGCGGACAACGGACTCTTGGTTTCGTATGATCCTGTAGCTGAAAATATTAAGAATCTGGGCATTCATAATGCTAACTATTTACCTTACCGGGATGCACTCTATGTTAATACTTACAAAGTGAGCCTTATTTTACTTGGTAAACAGACAGATTATTCTGCTGGAGACACTTGTGAAGGTTTATCCTGTTTATGCAAGAAGGAAACTAAAGGTGGGAGGAAGTTTCATGAAGGAAACACTAAAAGAGGTATGCGTATTGTATCTCCCTTGCACATCAGTGGATTAATGTACATGTCAAAAATGAAAGCAAAGAGGCTGCGCATGATAAAACAGAAGAACAGGCAAGTTCAAAAATCTTCCTAGTCTACTTGTAGCCCTTAGCTTAACCCGTGGCTGTGTTGAGGTTTTTGCTAAATGCACAACAGATAAAATAGTTGATTCCATTTTTTGAGTTGGCATATTCTATACGAGACAGACACAAACCTAGAAAAGATTATTTTGCTCATATTATTTTTCAACTCCTTTAGTCCTATAAGTTTTTGGATAAAGTTCGCTAAAGTTTAGGTGTATCTTCTTAAACATAATGCAGCTAGTTCTTGTTCTAAAATCGTATCAATTTCTTGCAACTTGACATTGTTTTGCAGGTTTCAGGCTGACACTGGGGACCTCGTTTGATTGATTGGAAATTCAAAGTTTCTTGAAGGAGCCAGGAGTGCATGGCAATTTGTTATGCTTTTGGGTATTAAAACTCTTTGATTAAAATAGAGGTTGTAAATCTAGTGTCTTGACTACTACTAAGTAGATGTTCTTGGGCTCACCATACTTCCAGATATTGTGTTGTTTTTGCAACTATCTGGTGATTACTATTACATTTTCCCGCCAAATTTCTATGTTTTATGAGGCTTAGTAGTAATGATAGTAAGGACCACTTTAATGACTAGAATTTTGTTTTATTGATCATATGCCTTGTCAGCATTTCTTTCTTATGACAGAAGCTCAGTTGTAGGTCTCGACATTACCCATTTAATACCCAATAAATTCAAACAGATCTATCATAGTTGTGAGGTAGCAGCACAATGTAGGGATAAGTGAGTGCCAGTTTCTGCCTCCTCTTCACACATAAAACATCTGCTCCCTATATGGAATCCCCTCAAATTTTCTTGAGTCAAACAAGCATTTCTAACCCCCAACCACACCAAACATAACACTTTCATAGGTGCTTTAGAATCAAAGACTTGCTTCCATGGGCTAGCTGATTTGATTCACTTATAAACAGATTGTAGCAAGTCTTTACAATGTAATTGCCCTTGCTATGACCTGTCCAAATCAGTTGGGCTTCATTAGAGGGTAGGCCTTCAAATGCAGGAAGCAAGCTGAGAAAATCTGCAATTCATCCGTTCCCCATCATTCAAGTCTCTCGTGAAGATTATTTTCCTATTGTTGCCATCCCTACACTGTGCCACTATGACTTCTCTGTCAAATCTCCCGGCCAAACAGTTTTGGGGAGACTCTATTGTCTGAGGAAGTGTTCTGTTATCCACATGAATCTTGTTGACGGTGGGAGGTGATGCTTTTGCTCCGAATCATTCTTCTGACCATCTTGGAGTTTTGTTTTTACTGCTTCAGCAAAATTTTTGCGTGGTCTTCCTTTGACTAATCTGGCCAACCAGTGTATGAAATTTCAGGGATGATTATATTATACAGCTTCTCTTTGTTCCCTTTTTAGCAGTAGTGGCTATAAATCTCCTATGTATGTGGAAATTCTGAGCTACAGAGTACTTCTACATTTGACTTAACTGACTCCACCTCTGAAACTTGTTACTGGAGCCATCAGAAGCTGGAATCATCCCTGGACAAACCACAAGAGGATCTTTCTACTTATTGACATACACTTTGTGAATTTTAGCCTCCTCTCTACCCAGTCGTACCAAATTTCCTTTGATGAAGCTGACCCAGTGATATCAAAATACTTTAGTTCCGGCTATAATGAATAGTTCCCTTGACATGATGTTTAGTTTTAAGACAGTCACCCTTAATGAATGATTGGTGATAAAACGTAATCAAGGACCAAGAAATAAAAATATTCTAGAGAGACGTTAAACTTTCTCTCTCTAAGACATGGTGAAAAATGTTTTGAAATTCTTCTGTCTTCCTACCTGGAGTTTACCATTTGTCTTTTAAGATATTCTTCTATATCTTCAGTTGTAGTTGCTGTCACCATCCCTTTGTATTTTTGGTTCCTTTGATATACTAGGAATTGTCTGCTGCCACTGTTTGCGGAAGTACTTTTGCTTTATAATTGGAAATATGCTGGGTTTTCGTTTGTCAGGTAGGTTCCATAGCATAAAATTGCTATTTTGCTCATTCTGGGAGAAACCTACTGAGCTAAATGCCATGACTAACATGTAATTGTTTTTGACATATATTTACGTGGCACATATTTTAGTGCAGTACTGAATCGGCATCTATGACGACTTGCAAAGGCAATTCTACTTATTCTTTTCAAATGCTAGTATTATTGAGCTACGATTGAGCTTCCACTTGCCCATGATTTTGTCATAGTTGGAGAGGATGATTAGAAATTTATGATATATGCTACCGAAACATATATGACTTGTTTCTCTCTTGTTTCTTCCTTGAAATATTCGAGCAATTTTTCTCTTCTTTTTGATAAGTACAACGATTCAGAGATCGCGAAAAACAAGTTCAACAATTGATTGATGAGAAGCTGCATGCAGCAAGTGGGTGTAAAACTTGAACAAGCAAAAACGCAGTCCCTTTATAGATGCAGGGAACTAGGGGAATATAACAAATTGTTCATGACATGTACATTTGACATTTTCAAGAAAAAGCAAAAAAAAACACAAGATCTCCCGTTTGGCCATAGATTTTAACTTCATTTTTTCAATTTCTTTTTTTTTTTGAAAATATTGTTTGTTTATGAAATATGATCAAGTTTTGGGAAAAAAAAATTCAAAATTTTCAAGTTCCTAGGTGAAAATTTTTCCTCCGCTCAGAAAACTTTAACTTTTCTCCAAATAAAATGCATGTCCAAACACAACTTCAATAATTATTTTTCAATACAACTTCAAAAACTCTTTTTTTTTTTTTTTTGTTTGAATCAAATCTATGTCCAAACGCTCGCTTAATTTCAGCTTGTCCGTAGGTTTCTCTATTCCTCCGGAGCCCTTTTATTCCTTTCTAGCCAAATTTACCCAAAGAAAAAGGGCAAGATAGGGTGGTCAACCACATGCTTCTCTGCTATAGGTCAACACCAAAGTAAACTCCTTTACTGACTTTGGCATTACCTATGCTAATCCAAATATACTTGATAAGCATGTCTCAGGTTCGTTGGTCAGCTAAAAATGTAATAGGAAATAGTGTTCTAGATCTTGTGCTTCATTCTCAGGCATACAAATTACACCAAGTTAAGCAAGCACCATGGGACGCAATCCAAGTGAACCCATTCATCTTAGGAGGGGGTTGAACAGGTGAGGACATTCCTCCTTAAATGTGAGTATCCTCCCATTCATCATGCCAAAACCTTAACCACCCCAAGATAGAACTAAATATCCCTAAGCTGCTTGACACACTAACGCTATATTATGATATTAATTAGTTTTTGTGTCTAAGGATCTAGCATAGAGTACCCTGATTAAAAGAAAAGGATTTAACTACCGTATTTGTCCCTTACCTTTTTTTCTCATAAATATTCCTCCATATTTTGACTGAATGAACTGCTACTTGAATAATAGATACTTGTTATGTATACCCAGTCGTTGGTATGACTTTGTTCCAACTGTTTGAGGGAAGAGCAACAGTTTCTTGTGTCACATTCTACGGAATATATATCTCTTGTAATAGAAAAAGAAAATCTCTTCTAAATATGTCCAGTCTGCTCTTAATTAGCTCATGAAATAAGTAGGTAATGATTCTACCTCTAACAGATATATGCTGCCTCTTCCACCTAGCCAACCTTATTACATATTTCTCAATTGCTCTTGCCATATCATGCCCTCCTTATGCTTAACTCCAAGAGAGAGCCCAAGTATGAGCCAACACAGCAACCCAACAGGTTAGCTAATGCCCCATCATTAACAGGAAGAAGGTGGCTTTAAATTTAGCTAGACTTATGCTCAACTCAGTTAATGCTTCAACCACTACTAGAATGAGGCTTAGATAATCCAATTAGACCTCACTACGTAGCCTCAAAAAATGAGTGTATCATCAGTATAAAGCATGTCTGTTGTGATTTACAGTACTTATAAGGATTCCTTATTAATCAGTAGAAAGAGGAAAAGAGATAGATGATCTCCCTTTCAAGAACCCTTTTTAATTCGCATCAGAATTCTTGACTTCTCTTACTCCAATTAATTTGTTCTCGTCTCCTTTGGCCATCTTACCTTATCTTCCATTCCTCTGAGCATGGGTACCAGATTGGATACAATGACATTGAAGTTGTAGTCGGCTAACTTTGGTCTAAAATGATACTCCCTTTGTTCTAGTTTATATGAACCTATTTCCTTTTTGGTCCGTTCCAAAAAGAATGACCCCTTTCTGAATTTGGAAACAATTTAGATTAAACTTACAATTCTACCCTTAATGAGAAGCTTTTATAACCACACAAATACTCTAGGCTCCTTTTTGACTTGTTTAGGACTACAAATTCCAAAAGTAGCTTATTTCGACGTCTCCGGCTCCTTACCTGCCCGCACTATTCTTCCGTCCGGATTTCTATCAGGACTAAATTCTGGTCTCCTATCATTTATTCTCCCGTCGTAGAGGTCCAGTATATGGCTCATATCGGTTTCTATGTATTTGGACCTTAAACTAATGGCTCATCCTCATAGGCAGATCATATAATTCTTTCAAGTTTTGGGATATACTCTTTTAGCATCATCTCTAAATTTTAAAGTCTTTTTTTTTTGTCACAACGTTAAATTCATTAATTGATAAAGTAACAAAATGGAACGAAAGGAAGCACGTAGAATTTCATACTAAATAACTCAAAATTATGTTGTTTAGGGTGAATCATTTTCATTTATTGAATTCATCTGACAAAAATAAATCTTTAATAAAGTTTCTAATGAAAATGAAACTACTCAAAATACGCCAAGTACTTAATGAAGGTCCTCTTTTAAGCTATTATTATCCCCAAAAAGAAGGAGAAAAAAAGCTATTATCCTCATGCAGTGCACTGGAGAAAGCACAACGAACTTCGGGTTAATACATTTAATAGAAGCAGGAGATGACCAGAAATCAAATGGATTCTTGAAAGGAAAGAACACTATTAACCTTGACATACAATTGGATTTTGCACTATTTCCATGAAAACCCAGCAATAAACATCAGTTATAAACACATTCCGATAAATATATAGTTCACTTAGTTGTTCCTATTTCAGATTCATTCTAAGTCAATGATTTTCCATACAAACTAATTCATAATGAAAAGCATATATTATCCAGCACAGTCAAATACATCAAAAAATTAGATCGTCCTTACATATATACAGAGAAGAACATAATAAAAAGAATAAGAACTTCCTTTTTTTTGTAGCAGAAGAACTGATAGATTTATCAGCCCTTCATCTATCATAGATGAAAAGATTAACAATAGATAAAGAAAAAGAATTAGATAGTTTGAAGAATGAGTGTAAGAAAGAGTATCCTGTTGGGGAGTTGTAACGACCCGACCTGTCGTTTCGTGAGTTATAGCCCCGTTTTCCCCATTTCTTCTTCCTTTTGTGTTCCTCAGCTATATTTGATTCTATCGCGTTGGTTGGTTCGGGTTCGGAGTGAATTGAGACACTTAGTCTCTTTTGTAAAGGCTTAAGTTGGGAAAGTTGATCGGATGTTGACTTATGAGTAAATGACCTCGGATTTGAATTTTATAGTTCCGTTAGCTCCGTTAGGTGATTTTGGACTTAGGAGCGCGTCCGGAGTGTGATTTGGAGGTCT